TCCTTAGGGAAAGGTAATTTCCAGTAATTTTGAGAAATGGAAATAACTGGATATTTCTTGGTGGCCAGAAGAAAACTATATAAGACTGAAGAGAACATCAGTTCTCAGTTTTTCAGTTCATAGCAGACTTTGGAGTATTGAGAGATTTCCATATGAGCTTCATTCTTTAGATGTACTTTCTGTTGTTGTGTTTAACATTAGTAGTAACTTAGTAGTTTGAAGTGCTAATTGCTGATTGTGCTCTGTTTACATAGAGAAGAGCTGTATGAGTACTTTTGTGGAAAGTTCTTGAACTGTAATGTGTTTCTTTTGAGGAAAAAAAATTCTATCAAGTTATCAGGAGTTCTGTGCACATTTAACTCATTATGAACCTATACCTATGCCACAATATATTTATACATGTAAAATCCATTACAAACCCTCTTCTACCACTACAATATTCTCTCTACATTTTAGATTATGTCTTTAAATAGTCTTCATATGCAGATATTTGCATCTGCTCAAAATAGTTGAAATGATTAGCCAGAACATAAAGCATTTGGAAATGTTACCAATTATTACCATGTTCGAATTAGGTACCCAATGGCAGAATTTTCAAACCAATGTAAAGCTGTATACCTTTCTGCTAAGCATTTGTCAAAAGTATCAGCCTGCTATCACCTCCTAAAATCCACATCATGGATGGAATATAGCATAATCCTGTCTTTGATGCTTGTTGATCCCCAATATTAAATTCCAGTGAAGCAGTGTTTTTTACTTTTCACACAACATGATGCTTGCTAGCTGACACCAATCACATTTACTTAGAATCCTTTCAGAACCACATTTTTGTCATCAAGTTCAAAACCTTGTAGAAATTTTGTAGTCACAATACATTCTTGAAATGATTATATGTGAAAATACAGATTTTGCCTCTACTTCTGATATGTTATGACTTATCTTGTACGCTCTAAATATTAAAATGGAATGAAAATATCTTAAACCACAAAAATTTGCCATTCTGAGGATGGAAATAGCTCTAGAAACTTCAGCACATGTCTATAATTATACATATGCTCTGGTCATGGAAGAAACAAGATATATATAGGTGGCATTGCCATGTAATACATGGGTTTACTGAATAAGAACAAAGTATTCAGAATTTTACTAATTTTTCTGGCACTTCAGTTTATATAAGTAATTATGCATCAACTAACACACTAAGGAGATGAAGAATGAATTTCACAATTATGGCATATATCTTTCTTCTTCATACCTACTATAAGTAATGTTGGATGTCTGTTGTGAAAAAAAAGGAAAGGGACAGTTCTGTATCTCCTGTTCTACTGGGCCAATTGACGAAATTCAAATTGTGTTTTTCATGTCTCGAAAGTGCGGCTTAGGCAATCGGCAATTGACACAAAATCGGACTTTTTCTGAAATGATATGCCACTTTTATTCAATATTTCAATTCTACAACTCAAACAATGCCAAATTTTGTAAAAATTGTACGACTAGTTTTTAAAATATTAGCTCCTCAATGTTAACTGAATTTGATATATATTTATAAATATCACTTTATTAAACTTACTATATTCCTTCTTCCACAATTCGAAATTTAGGCTTAATCGAAATATAATTCGCACATTTTTATATGATTTACTTTTAAAATTTGTATTTTTAAATATTTTTATTAAATTCTTAGAAAAACTTTTTGTATTATAACCTAAAAAATTTTGCTTAGAGTAGATTGAAAGGTGCTCCTTAGAGTGCTGCCAAGTTGTTGTTTTATTTATCGCCAAGTTGTTATTTCATTTATTGCAAAGTTATTGTTTATGAAATGATATCCCAATTTGTTTTCCATATTTCGATTCCACGACTCAAATTATGCCTAAATATTAAATTTTGTAAAATTTCATGTGAAATTTATTGGTGATTTGGTGTGAAATAATTTTAACAAAGTGCTTAAGCTATATTTGGCGTTATTATTGCTAAAAAAAAAAAAGATGCCAAATTTCAAAATGCTCCAATATGTAAATTCTTGTATATCTTAGAAAATTATGAATAAAAAACTCTAATTTTTTTGCTGGGTGTCTAGAAATAAATCTACTTTAAGATGATGTTAAAAATTTTATAGATTATAATACCAAAATATTTTTCAAAAAATTTATAAAAAAATTTAAAAATACAAATTTTAAAAAAAATCATAAAAATGTTCAAATTATATTTGGATTAAGCCTAAATGTCGAATTCTGGAAGAAGGAATCGGGTAAGTTTAATAATAAAAAAAAAGAGATATTAATAAATATATATCAAATTCAATTAACACTGAGGAGCTAAAATTTTGAGAGCTAATTTTTAAAAGCTACTCATATGATTTTTACAAAACTTGGCGGTTTGGTATAATTGGAGTCAGAGAATCAAAATTTGTAAAAACAATTGGCATGTCATTTCAGAAAAACTCCAATTTTGTGTCAAAATACCATGTACTTAATTTGAAACAATGTTATATTTTTATTCCAAGTTTTTGAAGGCATGTAGAGAAAATCCTGATATATTCGAGATTCCTTATTATTATTATTATTATTTATTTTATATGTATTTTAATGTAATGAAAATTTGTTTCTTTTTTTGGTTTTTGATCTCAAATGAACCAGGAGAACGAAACATGTTTTCGAAGTATATTAATCAACTTTTATGAAGCTTTAATTTATTTTCCGCTGATGAGGTCTGAATTGGAATTTCAGTAAAGGAAAATTCATTTTTAATTTTTTTTTTTTTAATTTTTTTTATTTTGCATATATTTTTCCCCTTTTGCATTTTTAGTTTCTGAGTTTGTACTACTATGATCCTTTTTAAATTTTGAATTATTTAGACATTGTGTTAAACCTCTTCTTACAAGGATGCAATTATTAATACTGTTGAGGAATTGCCTTGCTTAGACTCCAATTTACTTTAAACTTTAGATGCTTTAAGTTTATTTTATTTCAGTCCTGCAGCTATAGCGCAGGACGGGTATCAAAATTTTGTTTTTTATTTTTGCCTCTTATTAAGTTTCTTTGCATATTTATATATTAGAACAATACTATATATAAATCTAATACATAGCCCAAGTTACGCTGAGGCATGAAAAACGCAAGTTGGATTTCGTCAATCAGCCCAGTAGAACGGGAGATACAGAACTGTCCCCCATTTTTTGCACAGTGTACATAAGTGATTCTTTTAATATGCAGATATAGTCACTTATCATTTTGAATATTTTTTGTAGAGCTGAAAAAAAGCCGTTAAAAACATATTATCAAGCATAAAAAAAAGTGATAACAGCCAGAAGCAGAAGAATGAAAGAGTGTATATGGCTAGTTAGGACTTTTTATCAACAGAAGGGGTTCCAGTAGCATTAATCACATTAGTTTTAAAATTAAGCACAGAAACATTTGATAGAGAATTGACATTTGATTTTTGTTATGTAATGTATGATATATGCTGTTCTCTTCATCAGCAGCATTATTATAAGTAACATGCTAAAAAGATTAATTAAAAAAATGACGTGTATATCAGAAACATTAATTATATGTATGTTCCTGATTTTAATAGTAGGAAGGAGAATTTAGTACAAAACAACTTTAGGAAAACTAAATTTAAAAATCAAATATGAAATTATATAAAAAGCATTATTAAAAATCCCAAATGATTTCATATCTAGCTACATAACATATACTGCCAGACACATCGTTTATTAATTATAATAAAGTTACAAATGTTCATAAAATGCATTGGATACATTATAAATTATTTGAATACATAGGGATACATTATATATTAAATATTTAATTATATTCCTAAATACAGGGTTTTTTAAAACTAGTGATACTCAGAGACCTCTGTAGCTTGAATTAACAGCCGCAAAGCCATGAAATTTTCTTACAGGGACTACTGACATGGGAAATAGGGGGAAAAAAAAATGTTCCAGACAGGGAAAAAATGTGGCACTTTATACTTTAAGACAACTAAAATTTTGCATAAAACAAGATGAAAAATTGCAAAATGTTAAGTCCCGAATATGTGGTTGACACCAATGCCAGTACTTTGAGTTATAAAAAAGAAGGGGGCATTGAAAATCATTTCAAGTATTAGTTGCTTTGCTTAGTCCAAGAAAATGGAGATCATATTGAAAATAGCCGATGTCTTCTCCAGGAAAACGATTCTAATGAATGAAAACAAAAGAACAAAGAATAAAAAGGAAGTCAAATAGAATGCTCTCTCTCTCTCACTTTTTTAAAATTTGTAACCATTTACAGAAATTATTTTTTAGAATAAAGCACATTTGTGGAGAAATTAATTTTTTGCTAGTCATTTATCTGTTTACTGTAAATTTTTAAAGTGGTCAGAAATTGTATTGTGCAGTTAAAATTCAGATCAAAAGCGCTATATTTCTTCCTATCGGCAACTTTTGGAACTAAATGCTTTTTTTTCGCTGATTCCTTTTTCCCATGTCATCAATAGTCCCCGTACAAAATTTCGTGGCTTTGCGACTGATATAGAGGTCTCTGAGTACTGTTGGTTTAAAAAAAACACCCTGTATATTAATAAAATAAAAATATGAATTACTCAGAAGGGCATTTACTGCTTTTAAATCTCTCAGTTCATTAAACATTTCTAACTAATCAAATTAAAAAAGAAAAGCAAAATTACTTTGCCAAATAGCAAATAGCCTTTTTAGTTAAATGCGAAGGAATAGAGAACATAAATTATAAACCTTATGTTTTGAGTAATGATAACACTTGCTAAGGCTAAGGAAAAAGAATAATATATGCACATTTTTGTAACATAACATAATTATCCAATATTGGCAATACACCAATAAAATCATGTCTAGCATTAAAAGGAATACTGTAGAAGAGGGCAGAACATTTTTAAACTACCACTGCCTGAAAAATAAAATCATACAAAATAGTTTTTGAAGACATAATAAAGATAACTGACAAAGGGATGAAGGTTTTTTTAGTTCATAATATACTTACGGAGCCTCTTATATTAGGCATTCTACCAGGTTCTATTCGTCCTATATCCCAAATCATCACTTTACTAACAGGATCAAAAGTGTATTTGCCTTGACTGGGATTTAAAGTCATATTCAAAACTGATTTTGGCATTGGTATTTCCACTATGACATTTTCTACCTAAAAAGCAAAATGAAAATTTAGGGGTTAAAGAAGGTAACAGAAATATCCTCAATTAAACACAGCAGATTGTGGTGGTGACAAGTTCTCTGCAGCTCTATACAATGAGCTTCAACAAGTGGAATTGGCCATCAAAATGCAATATGAATCTGCAGATTCATGATGATGTACAGAAAGCTCTGGGTGAGATTAAAAGTTTGACTACAAAGTATGTTGAGCATGTTAAATCTGTAAATTTTCGTAAAGCTTGTTTAAGAAAGCTTACTGAATTCGGTCACGCAAATGAAAACGTATGCTAATGCTGTGGCACCATCTGTTTGGATAAATCAGATTGATTCAGACTGCTGTGTTATTGTGAGTGCGATAAATTACATCTGATACAGTTATAAAGCTTCTTAAAGCTGAAATCGATCCTCGGAAACATAAAATTAAACAAAACATAAATTAGGTAATGCCAAGCTTGACTTGTGGAAAAATTTTCTCTCAACTATTAATGTTCACAATGTTTGGAAATCTATATATATTTATGAGATCAAGATCAATTTTGCGAAAAGGATCGAGATTTCGGGAATTAAACTCCCAGGTAGCAGTGTTACTTCGAGCTCAAGTGATATAACTGTTGCTATAATGACAAAGAATTTCCCAAGAAATAATGTGATGATGATAAAAATTCTCATAAAATTATGCGTACTGCATCTGAAGGATTTTATATTTCATTTACAGACTGTCAGTTCTCTACTTCAGATGTTAACAGTGTTATTAAATCACCTGGGCTAGACTCTCTTTCCAATGAAATTGTACATCACGTTCATGCGGTTGACAGCCCTTTTTTGCACAGACTTTTCAACCTTTGTTTACAATTAGGAATTTTTCCAGCACAATAGAAGAGGGCTCGGGTTGTTTTGATTTCTAAAACTTTAAATACAAGAGCTCCTTATCTTGATAATATTAGATGCATTAGTCTCTTGCCTACGTTGGGTAATCTGAGTATTGCTATGTCTTGAAACTCTCTACATTAAAAGAATAAATTGGTATTTAAGACAGAAATGTTTATATAATGATTCTCAGTTCAAGTTTACAGCTCGGAAGTCTGCTGAAGATGCCAACTTTCGTCTTTGCAATATCTTGCAGTATGGAAAGAAAATGAAATTAAAAAAAGTTCTTATTTTCCTGGATTTCAAAGGGGCTTTTGATAATGCTTGGTGGCCATCTATCTTAAAAATTCTAAAAGATGCTGGTATACTACATAATATCTATGACCTGCTTAAAAGCTTCTTGAACGGGAGGAGCGCTGAGCTTCAGCTTGGGACCAAAGCTAAGGTTTATTCTCTAGAAAAAGGCTATCCTCAAGGCTCTGTGTCTGGACCTACTCTTTGGAACATAATAATAAATAATTTTTTAAATCATCTCGACAGTTGTTTAAAAATTGCATTTACAGATGACTTACTTTTAAAGACTTTGAATAGCATTCTTTTGCGAGTACAAGAAATGCTAGTTTTTGTCTTCAATTGGGTTATTTTTCATAAACTCACTTTCAATCTCACAAAAAGTTATGATTGTTCCCAGAAAGTTTGATGAACAAAATATTGCTTCTTTGATATTCGATTCTCCGTTACAATTTGTAGAAAATGTTAAGTACCTTGGTGCCATTCTTGAAGAAAAATTACCGAATCGCCAAAATACTTTTGGAGTAAGCTACAATATTAACCGTTTGAGTCCGGCGCGCGCTTCACTTTTCGTATGCCAAAAATATGGCGCAACGCGATAGCGCTTCTCTTGTTTTGTATCGAGAATGCGAAGACACTGCTGTTGGTTAGTATACTTTAAAAAAAAAAAATTATTGAAATATTGAATTGGTTTCGCATTAGGAGGAGGGGCATGCTTTGGTCCAGGTACTTCAGAAAAAGTATTTGATTCGTTCAAAAAAATTGTATCCACGGGTAAAAACTCTTCAATAATATCGTCATCGGAGGTACTTGCAGTTACTTCATCATCATCACTGCCATCACTAATAACTCGTAATCTCTTAGAACGAATGATGATGTCATTTCTACTATCACTTTCAAGGTCATTACTATACTCTTCATTATCACTTTCAAATGAATCAGAACTTAACATGGGTTATTTCGTAATCATCAGTATAACACTTGGTAAAAAAATGAAAACAATTTCCAATTTCTATGAAACAACTGCTACTGATATCACTACAACTGCTCTCAATAATTGCGTAAAGTAACCAACAGCAGCATCTTCGCATTCTCGATACAAAACAAGAGAAGCGCTATATTGCTGAGCCGTAGTTTTGCCATACGACAAGTGAAGTGCGATAGCGCTTTGCCGGACTCAAACGGTTAAGAACTGATGTATAAGCAGTGTATTATACCTTTCATTTCATACCGCTGTTGTGCTTAGGGACATATTCTTGCAAAGAAGGTTAACAAAAGGAATTTGAGAAATATTCAATGGAGTATTCTTTGTATTGTTAGTGGTTACGGAACCTTAAGCTATGAGGCTACTTTTGTTCTTGCAGGAGTTCCACCTATTGATTTTGAAATTGAATATGACAATAATATTTTCAAGTCACTGGCAACTGATACTTTGGAAGACTGCATAAATGCAATTATCCCCTTCCCTGATCTTCCTCAGGGAACTTTAGAGCCCATAAATTTCTGCGATTATAAACAGACTAGTGAAACGAGTTTTCATATGGTTTTCTTTGCAGATGATAGCAAGATGAACAAAAAGGTTGGCCTTGCCTTTGTTCTTTTTGAAGGCCATTCCGAGGTTTGTTATTTTAGACACCGTATGTGGAATGAATGGACAGTTTTTCAAGCAGAACTTCTGTCTATTTATCTTGCTGTTAAACGGATCAAGGATAATGGGACAGGCATCTTCAAGGTACCTTATTTGTTCTGACTCTCTTTCTTCGCTTCACTTTTTGAACAGTATTACCAGCTGTGACAAATTAGTTATTGAAACCCTATTAAGTGTCAGTTCCCTTAGAAATAGAGGAATTGATATCCGCTTTGCTTATGTGCATGCTCATCGTGTTTCTATGGAAATGAAACAGCTGATTTCTTAGTTAAGATGCTTAGAAAGATGCCTTAAATTTACCCATTGATATCAACATTAGCACTCTAAAGAGCTATTACAAGTCCTTTCATTATAAGAAGCTTTTAGCTAAGTAGAATAAGGAATATATATCATCTTGTAATGCTGAGTTCACCAAAAAGTTCTTTCCTTCTATTTACTATAGACTGCATTCTGAGTCTTTCCTCTCTATTAATTTTAAAGTTTCTCATTTTTTATCTGGTTACAATAAATTTGCAAGTTACCTGTTTTGTTTCAATCTAAGATGAAACAATTTATGCAAATGTTCAAAAAGAGTATCTCAGGATGTGAAACATTTGATTTTCTCATGCCCTATATTTAATGGGCCTAGATTATGCTTGCAGAACGATTTGAAAATGCTCGGAGTGACTTTGCCAGTGAACTTATCTGCTTTCGTGAGATCCACACTGCTGTTCTCTGCTTTTGTTCGTTTTATTTATGCATGCAACTTTTAATGTTTTAGTTAACTTACTTTTGTAAGCCTCATGTTATACATCTGAGGTACACAGGGAGTTTGAATGTTTCCAAATAAAAAAAATATATATATATATACATGAAATTCAGAATTTTTTATTAAGCATATTTACACAATTTCTAGTAGATCACTCTAATAGTCTTCCCTTTGGTCTGTTTAATTTTTAAAGAGTCTCACATTTCTCTATTTATTAGAGAGAGCCATCATGAATGAAAATTTCAATACCATATTGCTTAACTTCATTATTAAAGCAATCACATAATAAATCTAAGTATTAGCCTAACAATATTATTCCACAATTTTTGCACTTTATAAAAACAGAACTTAACATAAAAAAAAAATACTCAATATTTCAGAAAGAATCTGAAAACCATGTCTAAGTAAAGTAAACATTATGCATCAGTTATAAAACACACATCCCCCCTCATTAAATGTGCATTAGTAAAGAAACATGGTAATTGCTCCTTTAGATAAAAATATGGAATCTTAACCCAAGACAAACTTTACCAATTTTAATTAGCAACTCTGATATTCTTAAAAAAAAAAAAAAAAAAAAAAAAAATCAACGTTGCTTTTTTACAACACTGTGATACGGGAAGGGCAGGTTATGAGCTGAAGGAAATACAAGTTTATGTATTTTTTAAGATGCAAAAAAATATTTCAAGCTAATAATGAATTACTTATACTAAAATAAAATAATAACAGTTTCTTATTTTAAAAGTGCAGTAAAATATTCATATTAATTTAATATTCAATGGAATTGGAACAATTGAGTTCACTAATAAAAATAAGAATACCAGATGAAGATAGAGAACAGAAATTTGCAAAACAGCTAATGTTAAACTACAGGTGTCATTTTAGAGACATTTATATGAAAAGGGGAAAACAGATTTACTAACCAAAGAAAAATGGCATATAATACTGGGATATATAAACTTTTGCTGATCACTTAATTACTAAAAGATAAGTATTTGTCTAAAAAGAAATGCTTTTGCTATCTTTTAAGGTAAATTGCTTGCTTTAACATGACAAAAATTCATGAAAACAAAATACATTTATACTTGCAAAATATGGATCTTTTTAAATTAAAAAAAAATTCATTCCTTGACAGTTCTCCTCCAAAAAATAATGGAAATTTTAAATAAATGTGTAACTCACCGTTTTCCCCATTGTTTGCTTAGGTCCAACAGTGATATCCATTCTTCCTCCACCAACTTCTTTAAATGAAACATGATGTCTTACATAGAGAGGTATGGCTACCATGCTAAAGCAATTTACAGGAAATAAAATTATTCTCATTTAAGAGTAATTTATACATATCAATAAACAAACAAAATTCAATTTTCCAGATAAAATGCAATTTTTAAAGTAAACTAAGTTCCATTTCAATAATTGTGAAGAATAGCAATGCATTGCTTTGTAAATAGATAAAAGCAAATAAAAATGCATTTAAAAATACTTACTTCTGTGATCCAATGTGGTAAGACATCAAACGAAAATTGCCATCTGGTGGAACGAATGACAAAATCCTTTCTGACTGAAACAAATTAATTTTATATTTCATTTCATTTTACAATAGAATAAAATATTTAATATTGATTTAGAAAAATTGATCAGAATTCAATTGCATACTGCTCTATTTTTAAATCTGCTTAGTAATGCAATAATACAGTACAAAGTCTGAAATCCTGATGTCCAGTATCCAGAATGATCTAAAATCTGGATCACCAGCAAGCTTAATAAAAATTAAAAAAAAAAAAACTTTTTATGGTTTACACTTGCACATTTGAAATTTTTTCATAATAAAACATGAAGAGCATCCCAATTCTTAATTCTCTTCAGTAGTGATGCCAATTTAACTAATCATTATTTGTACTTTTTTACTTTCGTCCTGCATGGCTGTCAACACACTGAAGCTTTTGAGAACTGACTGATGAAGCAATGTCTAAACAATTTTATTTTTATTTTTAACATTAGTAACTGAATACCAAGGAGCATGATGTTAATATTATGCTTGGCGATGATTATAGATTTCAGCTAACTCTGCCGCAAAGTGTTGAGTGTGTTTACAAGGAGAAATTTAACAGAAATTTCTATGCAAAAAAAGTAGATTTTACAAGTGATCAGTATGATGATACTCACAGGCCAAAAGATTGCATTTAGTGTTGACTGAATTGAGAAAAACTGATTTGTTATTCATTTAAGACTAGGACTGGTGTCAGAGCTAGTGTGGCCACATTGGGTGGCAAAGTGCATAGAATTTAGAAAAGCATTGAACAACAAAGTTAATAGATGGCAAAATCTTCAGAATTTAGGATATGTTTTCCAATGACTGTCTGACAATATGAAACAAGCTCATGATGTGTAAAATGACACACAGATTTTACATAGCAAACTGGCATCTAATCTTCTAGCACATGAAATTAGTGACCTATCAAAGTAGATTTCAATTTTAAAAGTAGGGAGGCAGTTGCAATGCTTCAGGATATCCAAATTAGGTTTTCTACCAAAAAGCTACTGATGAGTTGCATCCTTTTGATACAAAAGTTGACCAACAAACACTTATACTGAATCGTTACTTTGTGTATAATAGTGACAAATCCCGACCTTGACAATACTTCATTTCAAGGTAATAACCCTGTATGCATTTTTTTTTATCAATTGTTATGACATGCTTCATACTATTTTCATCCGCATACTCCAGTTAACTCTGATTGATGACCCAAAGTTTGCTTTTATTCTTTTTAATAAAAACTGTTGCATCAACATGCAACATCTGCAGTTCTATGATTGAAATTGTATAACATGAAGATTCACTGAAACTAATTAATTTAACTATTTCACAGAGAGTGAAGAGACAATTTTCTTGAATCACAGCATACATTTTTTCATAGTGACTATCCTCCATTGGTAAGGGAAGCTGCCAAGATTGAGAGTATATTAATTAGAAGGATATTCAGTTCAAATGGAAATGGTGGCATCATTCTTCATATACACTAAAAATTCTCCCACTTCATTATGTTAACTTGTTTTTAATAAATTGATTTTAAAGTTCTTGATAAAGTTTTTTAACAGTTTCATACAGAACTCAATAAAAATATATTGTAACACATACATGTACATGTACTAACTGACCAGGAACAAGTGGAAGGTTTAGAGCTGAAGATCCATGATTCACAACATCATTGCAGTCATTGACCTGAACACATTTCATATTTATAAACTCAGAAAAAGATACAGAATTAAGAAAAATACTAAAACATGTTTCATACTCACTTCCCAGCGACGAAATCTGACACAGGGATGAAAACTCACATCATCAAACACTCTAGGATTAACAAATGATAAACTAAGGTCTGGCATTCCACTCAATTTTATGCAACAGTCAATCTAGGAAACAGTAATATAAAACAGGTCTTTTTATGTGTTAAGAATATATCTTATATTCACAGATATTCATTTGTTTATTTAAAAAAAATCTAAGCTAATTTTAATTTATTTGTAAAATAATACAGTACAAAGTGCGAAATCCGGACTCGTCGAGACTTGGCGATTCTGGATTTGGGATCATCACTTTAAATCTACTAAGATGGCATGTCAAAATTATAAAATTAAAAATATGAAATCATGATTTATGAAATAATGAAGTATTTATGATCTAAAGGGTATCAAAATTTACAAAAAAAAAAAAAAAAAAAAAAAAAAAAAAAACTTAATATTTATTTGTTTACCTTATTAAACATTTCTTTCAATGTAAGTTGTTTAAGATGCTTCGTTTTTTGTGCTAATACTTTCTCTTTAATTCTGTAGACAGACAAAATCTCTTGCTGAATTACATTGTTGAAGTCCTGTAACTGCTGTTTTGAGAATTCCGACTAACTTGTCAATAGAAATTTTCTCGTTTTCAGTAACTGCTCTATCACTTTCTTCACTATCGGTAGCGTTATTTTCTGGATCTAGAACCATTTTACAGATTTTGACATTCATTCATTGATTGATGATTAAGAAGCATTGTCATCAAAAATGAAAAACTTCTTTTATATCATCTTCATTTATTACCACTTCTCTACATTTATATACAAAATCCGTTAATTGAAAAATTTCACCTTTTTTACGATATTCGAAAACCTTTAAAATTAGTGGCTATCATCATCAAATTTAGCTATCCTTCACTATACATATTTGGCTATGCATCATGAGCTTGGCAACTAACGACAAGTTGTTCCATTAAATTTTATCTTGCTTCTATCCTGCTCTGAGACAATTAAGCCTGAATTGTATTAGTTTAGTTATTTATTATAATTATGTATATTTCTTGCACATGCTTAAGGCTTATCAGAGTTTTGAATAAATAAATTTCCACATATACTTAAGCCTTACTAAAGGCCAATGCTCTAGATATCTTACCGCCTGATGCAGTCTCGGTGGGTCCTAAATTCTGTGACTTGGCATATAAGCCCTGGCGCTGGTTCTGGGTTTATGTGAATAACAAATCAATTATTCTTAATTCAAATAGCTGTAAATGTAATCTTTGGGTCTACGAGTATAATCAACAAAATCTATTTTTAGCATATGGAAAGAAATTTTTGGTAAATTTTTCCTCATCAACATTTTTAGCACATTTAACTTAAATCTGTAATCATCGCCAAGCATAATGTCAACATAAAAAGTTACTATACTTTTTTATCATTCAATTATTAACATAAAAAATTTTTAGGCATCGCTACATGAGTCATTACTCAAGTTCTCATGTTTTGATAAACATGCGGAGATAAAAGGAAAGTATAATAAATAATGATTTGTCAGGTTTGCGTCAGATCAACGATGTACCTGTGTGGAATGTTTTGGTTTGAGATGCCAAATTACTGATCCTACAAATTTATGCTAAAGTAATTGTTCCTTCAATATCAAGGTATTTTATTTACTGTCGAAGTGAAATTAAGAATCGGGACTCTCCAGATGTTTTATTATGCGCAGAGTGGGGAATCAAATGTGCATGCATAAAGCCTAGGAGAAAAAAACGTTGTTGGTGGTTTTGAGGTCCGGATTTTGGACACTGTACTGTAATAGTAATAATAATAATAATGCAAAGTTCATCCAGAAAGGAAGTACTATTCAGGCATTAAAAAGATTAGCAATTTGTTTTGGCATATGTCATATCTTAGCAATAATTGCAATATAAATACTTGCTTCATAGAATTTGGTTGCCTACAGCCTGAATTAGTTTTCGACGTTTATCTTGATCTCATCATCATTTGCAAAGATCTGGCTGGCAAACTTCTTGAAATGAGAAAACAAATGGAAGTCAGATGGAGCTAGGTTTGGTCTATGAGGAAGGTGACATAATTGTTCCCAGCAAAATGAATCAAGTTGTGTCATTATAACACATGCGGTATGCAGTTCTGCATTGCCATGTATAAACACAATACCAGAAATCAGTAATCTGTGCCATTTATTCTGTACTGCAAATAGTAACTTCTACAATGTCTCACAGTAAGCAGTAACATTGGTTGTTGAGCCTTATTCCATCCAGTCTATTAAAATACTCCCTGACAGTCTAAAAACATGGTGCACATGATTTTTTCGGAAGAAAGAGGAGGCTTTGCTTTCTTGGGTTTCAAGGAACCAGTATGCCACCATTCCAGTGACTGTCATTTCATTTTAGGCATCTCTTAACAAATTTATGTTTCATTGCCAATGACAATCCTTTTCAAAAAATCATTTTCTTCTGTCGCATAATGCTGCAAAAACTCCATGGCTGCTCCTATGTGTTTCCACTTTTGAACATCTATTAGTATTTTAAGTACCCAGTACCTATCGTGAACACAGTTTTTTGTAATGTAAATGTTCAATCACAGGTTCATGTAATAAAGATCAAGAAATATTTTGAAATTGCACTGACAAATCCAAAATTCAGTTGCTTATTGGAACGAAATTTTTTGTCGATGCAGCACATTAATTCTTTGATGATCAATGACATACAAACAGCCATACGCTATGCTCCTCGTTGTTGATGTTTTTCCTTCCTTCCTTAAACATCCTAACCCACCTTTGTGCCATACCTTCACTCATCGCATTTTCTCCGTAATATCACAAGTTCGAACATTCCTTGAAATTCAAAAAGTTGATAACAGCTCTTATTTTACAGCTCTGAGGCAATCAATTGTTTTAAACATCATTATCAACAAACAATGACTTTAAACCTTAATATGAACAAACAAAATGACTACACTAATTCATTCTCGAGTTGAATGATACAACTATTCATGCACAACCTTTGTGTTGTCAGAGGCACAGCAAGTATGTGAAAAGTACTTACTTTCTGAATCAGCTTAGTAATAATGAAAGCATTTCTGAATTAATTGACATTTGAAAATGTTAAAAATACTATTTATGATTCAGCTAACGAGAGCAAGTTAGCTTGGATATGTTTTACGAAAACAGGCTTTTACAGTGAAATACAGCAGATGGCAGATTGGAGCAATGGAGTACTTAAGACACTTGGTCTAACTTCATTGAAATTGGTAAAACAGCTACAAATTTTTCACGTTACAAATGATTTGGAAATAAAGAAATAATTTCACTCACAGAGTTGACTAAAAGTTAATAAACTCTTCGTAACATTTAGTAGATGAGGAATAAGGACAGTGGTCCTAAAATAGCTGGTGAAGAATCTTGACAATCACAGTTCTCCCATGGTAAATGAGATTTCAGAAAAATTGCATAGATGTTCAAGTATGCATAAAATTCAGTAAAGTTCACATAAAACAGTTCCTAGCAAGTGAGGCAAAATCCGCAGCATGTACTCTATAAAAGCATAAAGTAACTGTAGCATACAGTAACAGAAATATAAGTGAAACAGAGGTTCTAGATCAAATTCGACTCACTCATATTCCAAAATGAGATGCATGGCCTGGAGGGTTTTACATAAATTTTAATTAAACTTAATATTTACATATACACAATGCAGGTTGAAATGCCTAAATTGAATATTAAGGCTCAAAAAGCAAGAACTGAATAGTTCCATCAAAGAATTGAAATCGAATTACCGTATTTGACGGCATATAAGACGCACTCTTATTTAGAAGGCCACACACAAGGAAAAAAGTTTCAATAGTCCGAAACAATCGTTGAATGCAATTACCAAACATACTTTTATTAAGGAAAATTAACAAACGGCAAGCTATTTTGAAGATGATATGTAAATTTCAATAATGAATAAATGAATGAACGGCAAGCAATCAAACATAATACAAAATAAAGCAGAAACATGCACTTTGGCATAGTTTAACACTCCTAGTTTATACTGAATTGTATAGCTTAATCTCTTGTTTCCTGTAGTCATATTTTCCAGGGTATTCTTTTAAAACAAATAGTTTTAAGCACCGATACCGACACGTGTGTCGGCTGAGTCAAAGAAAGTCTATGTAAAGAAGGAAAGGCTCCATAGACATAATATGACCGTCGAACCTGTTCGAACTTCAACATCAGCTTTGGCGCTTTTTGGCGACAGATATTTCACGCATGCGCAAACTAATTATGGCAGATGTAGAAAAAGTTATGTATGTCTAGACCTTTTATCTGGGCTAAAAATAGCATTCAGTATTAAAAGTTAACCTGTGTCCTTCACGTATAAGATGCAGGTAACTTTTGTGAGATCAAATTTAGGGAAAAAAGTGCGTCTTATATGACGTCAAATACGGTATATTGCATAGTGCATTGAATTCTACCTTCAAGAAGAATAAAATTTCAAGTCGTGTTCAGAAAGGAAAGGGTTAAGTCAGCCAATAGATGGACTTCTAACGCCATCTCTTGGCAATATCAAAAGAATATTCCTTAACAATAAGTAACTGTAGGAGCAGAATAATAATATGTAAGAGGAATTATAAAAAAAAAAATACAAATATAATAAAAAATAATATATAAAAGCAAATGAATGATGGGAAAAAACAGGTAAACACATTTTGAAACATCATGATTAAAACTGCTTGCTAAGAATGGACAAAGGGCACTTTATGTGGATAGGTGTATTCATAAACAAGTATGGTATTATTGTTTATTTTGAATGGGCTCACATGAAAATTCTGAGCTAAGAGGTGGTAATAAGTGCATAATTGTATAATATTAAGTTCATCGTATATTTTATTGTTTCTAATGTGGTAGAGATTATTTGAAATCTACCTTAAAATACAATTTTATGCTGATGCAAGGCTTTTCTATTGGTAGAGCAGGAGTAAGCTCAAACAGAGCAGGCATAGCACAGCATGAACACAAGATGGTTTTGTAAATGAGGAACTTGTTGTCTATAAAGATAATGATGTTTAGTGGAACTAAGGAATAAAATCTTGCTTTACATACCCAAAACTTCTGATAACAGAATGTCCATGAAAGCTGATGATTGAGGATTAGCCCAAGATAGGTTAACTCCTCTAGCCCAGGGAAAAGGTCAAACAAATAAAGGTTTACAGTCCATTTTTTTTTTTTTTTCCTTTCCAGTGAACAGAATAGCTGATGATTAGTCCATATTGATTTTAATATTGTATTTAAACAAACTATGCCTTAAGCGCTTGTAATGCTGGACAAAGAAAAGCATTACTGACAGGATCCTAGTGGCAGCAGCATAAAGTGCAAAAGTAATATTGGGTGTCTACGGAATGTTATTCACATAAATATTGAATAATGTAGTCTCTAGTAATGAGCATGTGACACAACAGGACAGGTTGCAGGCAGTAGTGTTTAAGACATGACCAACAAACGTTCCATCTGTTAGGGAGGATTTAATGGTGTTAGTAATATCTCCTGGGAAACCCAGGTTAAGTAAATCATAAGATTAAACTGTCCAGCCAGGCTCTGTCAAACGCTTTGCCTATATTTAGAAATAAACTGGAGGCGAATTTCTTGTACTTTCAAAATTATCTCTACTATCCTATAAAGTTTATTAATTGTAGACAGTTTTCTCCAGAATCTAAATAGGCGAGGAATCAAGACATTATTTCTTTCGATGAAGTCTATTATGAACAGTTGTTTTAGCAATTTTGAAAGACTCTTGAAAGCAGACCTATTGGCTTATAGTTTGCAAGAGAAGGCTATGATTAGTTTGGCTTCGGTAGTGGTGAAATGTTGTCTTTCACAATGAGGGAAAATATATATATATATGTAATGATTTTAAAAGCGTAGATGAAAGCAGTGGACCTCCCAACAGCTTACGATACTGCGGAGATGACCGAGAAGACCGTAGTGGTTTGAAGATGGCAGAGTGAAAAGCATGATGACGCAATTTAGCACAACATATCTTGAAAAATCACAATCTTTATTTTTTTCCATGCATATCAAATAATCCTTTTTCAGACAAGATATTTCTTAATAATATTTGAATAGAATAACTACCATTTTGAAGTACGACGTCATCTTAAGCAAGTAAGCGGCAGCAGCATGGATGAAAAGCGTCTTACCAGCAGGACAGGTAACACGGAAAAGGCAGAGTATCATAGAACTTTAGAGGAAGAAAGGTGGGAGTCGGAAAAGTTTCAGTTCACAGTTCTGGTTTACAATTAATTTGATTGGACAAGAGGCATCTGCATTAAAATGTTACATAAGATAGAAAAGTCTAGAACCTGTGAAGAGATGAATTTAGGGGCAGATTACCAAATTTAGAATGTTAATTTTGAGGTCATAAATTATTTTTTTGAAACAGCTATCATATTTTGTTATATCTTACATATTCCCCCCCTTCAAAAGAAAAGTTGGGTGAGCAGGATGGAAGAACAGGCATTAGAGCAGCAAAATGTGAAAGATATAATTTTGAAAATACAAACATATTAACTTTTAAACAAAAAATTATTGTCATAAAATTTTGACTGATATTTTGAATCAATTTTGACAATTTTGACATTAGACGTAATGTAAACCAGTTTGCTCTTAAAAATTCGCCAAAGAATTTGGTCACAGAGTCTTGCAGTGAGAATTTCCCCCTCCGCGATGTGTACAGGAAATTGAGGAACATGTGTTAAGATGAAATGTTTCGTGATAATTTAAAGTCAGATTTTTGTACTCTTTTTGCTCAAAATAACTAATCCATTAATTAATTTATTTACTTGTGCAAAAAAATATTTTCTTTTCCTTTGTTGACATAGACCTTTGACTTCAAATAAACCCATAAGAAGAAATCTAATGGTGTTAAATCACATGATTTAGGGGCCAATTCTGATCACCAAAACGAGAGATTACATGATAAGGAAATGTCTCATGCAGTAATTGAATTGTTTCATTGGCTGTATGGCATGTGGCACCATCTTGTTGAAACCAGATATTGGCCACATCAATATCATCCAATTTCAGCAGAAAGAACTGTGTTATCATGTCGCGATATCGAACACCATTAACAGCTGCTGCTTAACTAGCCTCATTCTAAAAACAGTATGGTCCGATGATGCCTCCTGCCCCAAATCCGCACCAAAGAGTGACACGTTGTGGGTGCATTTGTTTTTCGCTAATCACACGTGGGTTCCCCAAACATGGCAATTTTGGTGATTAACAAAGCCATCGAGGTGACAATTTGCTTTATCACTTAGGATTATTTTGCTCAAAAAACCAGCATCCACTTTTTCATGGTCATTAGGCTTCAATTGTTGTGTTAATTGAATTTTGTAAGCATGAAGACACAGATCTTTTGCGAGTATACGCTGTAGAGAGCTTCTTGAAGTTTGCAATTCTTGTCCACAACACTGAACTCATGTTCCTGAGTTTTCACCAACACTCTCATGCACTGCTTCAATATTGACATTTGAACGGCTTGTTTTTAGACGATTGGTGTGTTTAGCGTCTCCAACTGATCCAGTCTCCAAAATTTTTTCAATTAACCTTTTCACAGTTGACAAGGTTAAAACCCTATTTTTAACATATTTTGTATAAAATTTTTTAACTGCGGCCGCCAAATTTCCATTATTTAAAAAATATTGTTCAATAACGAAGACACGTTGTTGTATCATATAACGCTCCATTTTCACTAACCCTAAACTCTCGGCTTACAAACTGTTCTTTTTCACTTTTGCCAACAACTTAATGCAAAAATGGCGCCAAAATCAAATCTTGCTTTAATTTTGGGACACCTTTTATATACATGGCTAAAAAAAAAAAAAAAATTGGCAGCGCTGCTAAGTTATTTGGTGACAGAAGATCAATACTGATGAGTAATCTCCAAATCTGACAAAGGTATCAGGCAACAATTATTATTTTCTAGAATACATAAAAATATGTTTATATTACATATACTACACTGTGGTGCACATATGCAAAAAGTCTTTCTCAGATAAAAATAAAAAAAAAAAAAAAAAAAAAAAAAAAAAAAAAAAAACAATATTGTTTAAAAAAATGATTATCAAATTTTACTTCGTATTATTTGTATGATCATAGAAAATAACCTTTTTAAAATTTCCTTTAAGCATTCTGTATCTACAACTTAAACTAATTGTTTATGGTACGAGGCCTAGCATTTGACCTACATTTATTATATTTGAAACATGTCTTCATCATTGTTATTTGAAAAATGTCTTCATAATTATATCTGGTCTTAAATTAAAAGATAATCTAATGTTTTTGAATACCGAAATATTAAATAAAAATTCAAATGTGTGCATATATTTATTTTTATTAAAAATTTTAAGAAAACTCATATTTAATAAGCATAACATAATTAATGTTTGTGGGATGAAAACAATTGGGAAAATATTTTTAAGTTATTGCAATGAAAATGTAAAAACTTATGCAATATCTTTTCCTCTAAAATATTGAAATCTAGTAATATAACAAGGATTTAATCAAAATATGAACTTAAAATTACATACAAATTTGAGTTACATACAAATTATTTCAGATTGAGTGCACTATACACATCAAATTATATTCATACAAAAATGAAAATTTAAAATTGCTTCAGATATACCACTACAAATAAGAGCAAACTTACACAGCCTTGTATTTCAGCAGAAATTACAGAACCACTTTTATCAATTATTGCATCAACTTCTTCAATAATATCAAAATAAGCTTCATTATTTGTATATTTAACACCTGTTCTTCGCCAAGGTATGCTAGAAAGCTGTCCTGTTGGTAATGTATTGCTGATGCTGAAAAAATACTTCTATAAATATGATTCAATGTAAATTAAAATTTACATTAAAATGCATAAAATGCCAAAAGTTACAATCCATACTAATAATTGACAAGTAGTGGGTTTAAACATAATATGAAAAGATGAGCAAGGCAAAGTTATGAAATTATGGCCATATGCTTTATAAAGACAGATTACACATACAAGGTAACTTTTTATTTAACATAAATTCAGTATGTGCAATGATCAGTTAGTAACAATGAATGAAATGATACAACATTCTGCTTCAAGATACACTGGTCAATGCAACTTTCTGCCCCAATATACAGCATAAAATTGCTTTAAATTTAGTATTAAAATAGGTAAAAAATTATAGCTTTTGTACTGATCAAATAAACACTGGCTAGGTGTCAACAAAATAATTTTTAAAAAAAAGTTATTTTTATTTTTAAAAATACCTAGCTTATTACAAAATATAATTTTAGGTATTATTACAGAGTGATCATAAAAAACAATCTCTCATATATGAGTCCCTAGCAGCCAATGAAAATGAAATTTCAGATGTTATTTGAAAGCATGTACTTGAGAATGGGATGATTTAAAACAACAGAGCTTTCATGGTATGCTTACAGTGAAAACATTTTGAAAATTTCGAATGGCAATACCTACGTTTTTCCTGCGCATATTAATCAGTGTATTGAAAATCCATAAATGGGGTTAGAATGATACACATATAACAAAATTTGCAAAGAACAACATTGTAAATGAACAATGACAACACAGAGAGGAGGTGTATTGTCACATTATTCATGGGGATACACAGTTAAAGCACTACTTACAGAACACTGTAATGCAAAGCTTTGCTTGTGAAAGCCTTTAATAAGGAATGTGGGAAGACCATTTCTTCAATTTGAATATGCGAATAAGATGACACTTACTAGAACCAGGGTTCGTACACATTTCTGCACACAGAAATTAAGTACTTTTAAGGAGCATTAATGGAAAAAAAAAATAAGGACCTATGAGCAAATGGGAACTGAATAAATTCAGTTAAAAATATTATCTATGCCTGAACTTCACTTTTGTAATACCATCCTAAAAGTAAAATAGATAAGTGGGATGCATTATTATTAAACATAACATAATTATTAGTAAGTTTGAGAATAAAATAAACTTTTATCAAGTGGTTTTATGAAATTTATCAAGCAGCATTTAATATTTTACACTTATAATAGTTGGACATATTTGAAAGAAGATAAGTGACATATTTATGTTTTACTAACAGTTAGCTTTAATTTATGGCTGCTAGGGGCAACAGTAATATTTTTATGCCTAATTTTTGTCTTTCCCAGTTTGGAGGTTTAGTAAATAGCAGGTAGATTTTATGTCAAGCAGCATAGTTTAAAATGAGAAGTAAAATAACAATCAGCATGATTCATAACAAAAGACTGTCTGTTGTCACAAGTGCTGCTAGACAGAGAAACCTGCTGATCAGAACAAACCTAAAAGACCTGATGTAGGCATGGTTGGCAAGTTTTGAAAGTTACTTTTGAAAGGTTCCAATAACCCACTAAAGCAAAGTGGCTTTATTTTTACATTTCTGTGCTATATCTTGTGACCGTAAAGGTTAACGAAAGGCAATAACTCGCTTTAATATGCAGAGATAATTTTTAAGGGTAAGCAGTTAGTTATAGATAATTAAATTAGGTAGTTAAATAACCTTGGTCATTATGGATTTGCATGGCCACTATTAAGTTTTATTTATTTTTTAACAATACTTGTTAAAAGAGCCTTATTAATATCACAATCTAATAAAATTTCACAGTTTAAAATACATGTAATTTATAACATTGATTCTTAAATGATATTAGGATAATTACATATTAAAAGCAACAAAACATGACAAAATACGTATGCATCTTTTTAATTTAAGACTTGCCACATATTTTGGCTAATTTTATATCAATTTTCTTCTCTTTAAGCATCTTTACTAACCATTAAAAATTTGTCTCAATACGCAAATCAATGTTCTCACTAGTTTCTGCATGCTTTATTTCCTAACTTATCAATTTCTCCCCAATGTACCTATGAGAGTTTGCTTGATCTGGTTAAAGTAAAATAATGCACCCCCCAAACAGATGTGAAGCAAATTATCACTATGTGTGAAAGAGACTAAAAAAATCAATTACAGCTCATGGTGATGCAATTAAACAAGAAAAGTCAAATTCAAACTAAAAATGTAAACTAGTGGTCGAAGACTAAGCAATTTAATTTAAATTTAAGCTGACTCAGTAATTCTATCATCATAACAAATTCAAATATTGGCAGCAATAATGCAAAGACAAATGATTATAAAATATCAGAGCTGGCAGGAACTAATGCAGCGAGCAAGCGGAGGTCAGAAACACACTCTGTCTTACACTCCAAAAACCTCAGCTCAAAAACTGTCTAAGTGATTTGCATTCTGGTGAGAAAATGGAAATGGGAAATTATAGAGAAGGCTGAAATTATAAAGTGGGTAATTTACATAGTAATAACTGTACATATCTTACAAGAATAAATTTTCTTTTTCTTTATACATTCAGTTTCTTTTTCAACATGTTTCTTTTTAATCTTAGAATTTTTGGATCTATTATTCTAAAAAATACTAAATGCATTTAGAATGTATAGAAAAATTTATTTCTTTAGTAATATGAACATTAAGAAGAAATATGAAATATAGTATATGGTAAAAGGCCGGTTACAGAGCTGGTGTGGCAGAATTTTTAGAATTTAGTGACACACCGAGCAAGAAAATCTAAAAATGACAAAACATTTTAGAATTTGCAGCAGGCACTGGAAGCAGAATTTAGAAAGGCACTAAGCAGCAGGATTTAGGATCCACAGAGATTGTGTCAGGTGAGAAAATTCCTAGTGCCAGCCCTGTATATGATACATACATTAAGACACATTATATGAATCTTTTAAATTGTCAGTTTTCAATTTTTTTATTAATAAAAAAAAATTCCTTGCTATAATGCCTGTCCATATAAGATTAGAAGCATTTTTGATATTTTCCATTTAAAAAAAAAATTATAACTATTACCTAAAGATACAAATATTAAAAATAATCCAAAGTATGTACAAATATTATTTGGATTGGACCTAAATTTTGAATTCTGAAAGAAACTGTAACTTAATTTTAAAAAAAGGGATATTAAACATTGAGGAGCTAAAATTTTAAGACTGAATATTTTACAAACTACTTGGAAGATTTTTACAATTTATTTCTGCCATAATTTAAGGCGCAGGATTAAAATATGGAAAAAAATCATATGACCTTTCAGGAAAAGTACGAATTTGTATCAAATTATTTATGTTAGAACAATACTATATATCAATCCAATATGGATTTTATCTTGGTCTGAGGACTGTGATGTACGCAAATTTTTTAGCTCTTAAAAGGTTAAGTTTTAGATGCATAAAAAAAGTGTGTCGCACGTTTTACATAAAAAGAAAGCTTATTGCAAGAGAAATACAGTGGTTTGAAGTTTTCTGAAGGAATTATCAAAGAGACGAGATTGTAAATTTGACAGCTTGATTTGCACCAGTGCTACAATTATGGAAAGATAGTCAACGTAATGGTATGATTATAAAATTCAATATACTATAAAATTGGTGTACTGAAAAATAATAATTTTATAATAGACTTGTAGGAAAATTTTTTCTCTTTTTAGTCATGTAAGTTTTGTTAGAAAATATTTATAGTAACTAAAGTTATAATAATTTTTGTTAATTTTCATAGATAAATTTTCATTTAAAATATAATAGAAGCCATTGTTTACAAAGTGCATGATATAATTTCAACTTAAAAGCACATGCAGTAAATATTTACTTAGTCTAACAACAAAACATAGTGTTATCTTAAAAATAAATATATTTAATAATTACAAATTAAACTAGATAACAGAAGTGATCTGCAAATAAACTAATATTTAGTTAAATCCTTGATATCTCTATTAATATAATATGCTCGTTATCTTGCGAAATACTAGCACATAACAACATGGAACATTGTAATAATATGATGCCAAAGAGGGATGTATCCCCTGACAGCAAAAAAAGCAGTCAGCCATCCTTCACCAACAGAGCAGGTCATTTCACAAGTGCCAAATAAAGATATTCCGACAACAGATGACACTGTTAGTGTACAAGAAGTGCTAGATTATGTCACTGAACTTGACTGCTTATTAGCCACATACAAAATATCCTAAAAAAAGCAAGTAAAAAGATCAAAGATCACTTTCTGAAAGTTGTTAACCTTGTTACAGATAAAAACTGTAGAACAGCCAAATTAGAAGGTCAGCTTGGGCAGACCAATAACACTGAGGATTATGTATGAGGGATAGTAGCAATGGAAAAACCAACATATGGCAGCATAGCAAAAAGAGGACATTCTATTTCTAGAGCAAGAACTCAAAACAATAATAAACAGGAACAAGAACACATTACCATTGTATATCCCAATAAGGAACTAACATCTGGCGAAGTACAAGACAAAATAGTGAAATACATAGACCTTGCAAAAATCAAAGTAGGCGTCACAGCGGTTAAGAAAGGAGAGGTTTTACTACAAGTTGAAGAAAAAGAGGACTTATTAGAAGAAGCCATTCAGGAAAACAAACAGATAAAACCATAGTCGAGACCAAATGACCACTGAAAATAAACCCCAAGATAATTATATATAATGTTAATAAAGATCTAGACAAGGAGGAACTACAAGAAAAACTAGTTACCCAGAATAAAGATCTGGAAAACACAAATATTGAGATTCTCTTTTCAAAGAAAGGAAGATTTGGGAAACACTGGGTAGCCTCTACTGACCCCACTTCTTTCAAAACAGTAATGAGAAATAAGAAACTAAACGTCCAATGGACCAGAAATAATGTTAGAGAGTTCCTTCAAATTACACAATGTTACAAATGCCTAGAATATAACCACTACACCGAAAACTGTACAGAAAATGTGAAGTATACAGGCTGCAGATCTGAGGACCATCAGAAAAATGATTGCAAAAAGGAATCTCCAATTCATGTAAATTGTCACAAAACCAAAGTGAAATTTAATGCCGGGTTAAACACCCATCACAACAGAAAATGTGCATGACCAAAATACAAACAAAGAATAAATTATGAGTAAAATCCAAGTTCTCCAGATAAACCTACAGCACTCTCAATATGCAACTACATACTTAGGAGAAAATTTAGAACAAAATAAAGATATAAAAATGGTATGCATGCAGGAACCCTATGTAAGACACAATCATCTACAAGGATTCCGCACAAGATTAAAAAAATTCTATGCAAAACAAAACGCCAAAACAGCAATTATACTTACGGACCAAGCACTCCCTGCCTTAGAGTCCTTAGCACAGATAACATCACAGCAGTGTGAATTAAAAGAAACATCCTTTCCTGATTGTTTCTGTTTACTGCCCTCCATCGCAGATAATTGTGCCTACATTGGCCTCGCTAGAGAACTTAATCATAACAAATGATTCTATCTCAGTTATAATCAGCGGAGACTTCAACAGAAAACATCCAATTTGAAATCCCACCCAACCAGACCTAAGAGGTCTCAAGATCTGTGAACTACTAGCAGCCACAAGTTTAGCCATCATTAACAACCCAGATAGCCCTCCTACCTTCTCTCGTTTCAGGGACACCTTGTGGGTCGATCTCATTTTATTTCGGAAAGAAAATACAATCGAGATTTCAAATTTTAAGGTCCAGGAGGAAGCAAACCTCAGTGACCATAACCATGTCCAATATGGAATCAATAATGTAGACTTACAGAGCAAAAACACCAACAAAATGAAACTAAGTCATATAGACTGGATGACATTTAGGTAAAAACTGACAGAACAATATTCTGCAATTTCACTACCACATACTATCACGGAAATAATTAAGCACATAGAGATCACCACGAAACTCATCCATGAAAATTATGAGCATACTAAAAAAGTTGGTAATTCAAATAAGAACAACAAGCATTATAGAAGCAACCCATCATGGAATCAGGATCTCGTGATTACAAGAAAAAAATATACGAGCTCTACGGCGGCAGTACCATCACACCTCAGGAAACATGCACACTAAAAACAGAGTCAACTACAAAAGAGAACAAGCTTTTATAGACAAAAGATCTTTGAGACCAAAAAAGCCTCCTGGGACACATTTTGGGAAAATCTCCAGATCTCTTCCCCATTCAGGTCCTACTATGATAAAAGCAAAAGCCTAGGACCCCTACAACTAAGTTCAATACTCAAACGAGATGAGACAACCACAGCTTCAGTTGAAGACACTATTAGAGAAATTCTCAAACATAAATTTCCCTATGAAACTCAAGACGAAGACACCCAACATCACAGGGAGGTAAGGGGATCAGCAAGCAGGCCTCCAAACTTCCCAATTGATCCCCTTTTTACTACCACAGAAATTCGAAAGATCATAGAAACTACTAAAAGAAACAAAGCCCCAGGCTTGGACAAACTCAATATAGACTTCATCAAAGAGTTGAGAATCGCAAACGATTGCAAGACCGAACTAACATATCTCTCTAATGCATGCCTTCAAAAAAGCTACTTTCCAGATGCCTGGAAGAATGCTTAGCTTGTTCTTTTCAAGAAAGAGGGCAAAGACAGTAAACATCCGAATGCATATAGACCTACCTGTCTTCTCTCTGCCTGGGGAAAAGTCCTAGACAAACTAATAACTAGATGTCACACTTTCAACCTGAAGAAAAACCACCTCATGAACAAAGTGCAATATAGCTTCATGAAGGGAAAGAGCACCATTGACGCTCTTCACAATCTGCAAGAGCAAATACACCATAACAAGCAGCGAAGTCTCCACACAAGTGTATCTCCTTAGACGTAGAGCAAATACACCGAGCAACGAAGTCTCCACAAGCAAACAAGCAGTGAAATCTCCACACAAGTGTATCTCCTTAGACGTGGCCTCGGCCTTTAACCAACTCTGATGGCCAGCCCTCAGGGACTAATTCAAATATCTTTAGTGTCCTAAGAATCTCTTTCAGATCATAAGCAGTCACTTATCAGTGAGACGGGGTCAGTGTCATCCACGTCCAGTCAGTAGTCATCCAGTCAGTGTTCTACAAAGGCGCAGCATTGACCCAATACCGTGGAATTTCATTGCAAATACTGCACTAGATCTAGATTTGGAAAGAAACGCACAAATCCAGGCCTACACCGACAACTTTACCCTAATTATTCAAGGAGGTAATCGCACTGAAATAGAAGACAAAGCAAAAAGGGCATTAGATCTTATTGCTAACTGGAGCCTCAAACTCAAGCTTAAATTCAGCATCGATAAAACAAAAATTATCACCTTTCCAAAGGGTAATAAACTTACAAATAGTCCACCCTGTATAAAATGGCCGAGTCGAGCACTAAAAAATGAAGATACTTTAAAATATCAAGGATTCTTACTTGATAGAAAACTCACCTGGGTATCGCACTTAATGATGATACGAGATAAAACCTGCAATATTATTTACAGCTTAAATCACATCATCACAAACAAATGGAACCTAAAAGAGAAACTTTTGAAAAAACTCTATCTGTGGGGCATTGAAAGGATTATCCTTTATGGCTCTCCCATCTGGATGACTGGCACGGTAAGGGTTTGTCCAAAGCTACTCCAAATTCAACGCATCAGCCTTCTCAAGATCACTAAGTGCTTCACTACTACACCCACAGCAGTTCTTCAAATCCTAGCAGGGGTTCTCTTCCTAGATCTCAAAGCAGAAATTGAAGATTAATTCATTTTAAAGACTCCTTCCAGCTTGATGACTCCTCATTCATTAGACCAGCGCTCCTTAGAACCACAATGAAACTATACTTTCGGCCACCCAGCGCTCATGAAAGATCTAAAATGGCTTAAACATCTACCAAGGACAGGACTTAGAAATCTTTTCTGATGACTCTAGTTTCAGAAAGCAAGTAGGTGCAACCTATATTGCTTTACATAACAATACAGAAATTAACTCAGCGCGGTTCAGATTTAGCGACCACACCTCAGTTTTCCAGGCTGAGTCCCTCACTTTAAAGAAGGCATCTCTCTGGGCAGGCAACACCAATTTTCCATTCATCAGCCCTGAACAAGAACGGCATGCAAACTTTCCACATCTCCTCATTAAAGAAGTGCTTATTACCCTGTCTTCTTATTACTTGTCTTCTTCCAGACAAGTGACAAGTGTCTCTATGTTGGGTACGTAGTCATCAAGGTACCAAAGAGCCGACTCTTTAGCTAAAGAAGCCACAAGTCACCTTTTCATCAACTTAGAGACCCTACTCTCCATACTCGCTGCCAAACACAAGACCTTCTGCGCCTTCATGTCTATCTGGCAAGCTTGCTGGGACGACCCAGATACCAGTCAACATACCTATTCCATCTTCGGTCTTCACCAAGAGGCTCAAAAACAGACTTCTATCTACAACAAGCTTCATAAACCACGATAAATTTCCCACGTACCTCAGTAAGCTCTGCCATCCAAATATCAAATGCACCTGCGGTGCCTCAGTTTCTTTAGTAGACATCTCAGATTACATCCACAACTGCCCACCTCCCATCAGAGATCCCTTCCTCAGCTCCAGGGATCATATTGCCTCAAAGATCTTCAGGATTACTATGGACAGCGGGGTGTCAGAAACATCACAGAGTATGTCTATTCTAAGAGAAACAAAATCATAACAGATAACCAGGTCTAGGCACCTGACAAAATATAAAGGCAGCCAGCCTCCATTCATGTATATATGTAAATATCTCTAGACTAACCCTTTTTGCTAATTTTAACCAACATACTCAAAAAATTGTAGTTGGAGCACCGAACAAAAGTAATACACTAATGTTAAATCTTTTAATAATAAGGTTGAAAAGATGAACAACCAAAAAAGATTACTGGTGCAACGATCAAAATAACATGACTGACCTGTAGTGCCCATTTGCGAGGTGAAGCAGGCAGAATAATAATAAATAAATATCAATCCAATATATATCCTAAGTCGCATTCCTGAGATTCCCTGGTTAAGTTGAATTTTGTCAATCTGCCCAGCAGAATGGAAGATGTAGAACTACCCCCTTTTTTTTACTTGGTGTATGCTAACATTCAAAACCAAGTACAAATAGCTACTGTTTTATCAAAAAATTTCCCACTTTGCAAAAAATTTCAACTAGCTCAAACAGCCAAGAAATTAATTATGGTAAAGTGCAACAGGAATATCTGCTTATTGCTTTTTTGGAAAAACTTTTGAAACAGACAGCTAGATGTTAGCAAAATTTATAATGCACTTTGCTTTCTTCTTAGAAGCTGCTAAAAGCATCAGTTTAAGTTGTATTTAAAAGCATTTCTACAAGAATTATGAAACATTACAGTAGATTAAAATTTAAGTGAAAGAAAAACAAGCTCAGAAATATTAAGATTTCGTAAAGAAAAATGAAGAAGGTGAAAAAGAAAAAGACATTATGGAAAACAACTACGGCGAGTAATGTACAAAATTCCAAGGTACAATGAAAGAAATAAGGTACAATGAAATAAATTAAGGTGTTTAAAAACTATTTTTTCATTACTTGTAATAACTAATAAGCTAAAAATTTATCTTAAAAGAGCTTCAGTATCAAAAACTGTCAATACAATTAAATGAAATACTGTGCTTTGATTTGTAAAGCTTGACAAATAAATTACTAGTAAATACATAAAATACAAACTTTGATCGTCCTGTCACTGTGTTGGCTATGGTACGTAGAATGTTTGGAGGCTTTATCATTTCTTTCAATATATTTGACTCTGTTGCCAATGGAAATCCATTGTCAAGCATTTCATCTAATAACTGAAAAACAGAGAATGGATGGTAAACTTTTATGAACTATTAAAATAGGAATAACGTAAGATGCAATTCATAAATAAGAAATTAATTTTTTTTAATAACATATTTATTGTGAATGGAAGAAACAAATAAATGGGTAAATTAAGGGCTAAAATATATTATTTCACAAATTGCACATAATTAAGTGAATAACAATTAATAATAATTTAAAGAACTTAATATTCTAAATTCAAGGAAAATGTAGTTTTATTCGATTTTATGATTTTAAAATGTTGTATTATTCTGAATTTAACTCTTTGAAGACCATATTGGCCCAGACGGCATTTCATTCAGACGACCACAATCACCTGTATGAGCAAACTGACATTTCGAAGGCTTAATATGCAGTTTAACAATTTTCATCTTCTCCAAAATAAGTTCTAAGTGCTTCAAATGTTCTTTCCAGGTTTGCGAGAATACTGCAACATTGTCATTATAGTTTACAGCAAAATCTTCACAGTTTCTTAATAATGCTCCCATCAAACAGCTAAAATCATATTGTGCATTTTTTAGCCTGAATGGTAACCTTAAGGATTTAAATGTTCCAAAACTTGTCACAAAAGCAGCGTAAAGCTGGGCTCTTCCCACGAGTAAGATCTAGAACAGTTATATATCTGGCAGATGACTTTTTCTACTAAATGTTCAATGTTTGGCAAGAGAACATATTGTGTCCTAGTTGCCTTGTTTAAGCGACGGTAATCAATACATGGTCTTGCCTCTTTTCCAGGAACTTCAACCAGTGTGAGTGAAGAGGTAAAATCGGTTCTATTATTTTGAATTTTATCATCTTTCCTACTTCAGTTTTTAAAATCTTGGTTTGTCTGGCAGACATTCGATACATACATATAGATCTTTCTGCTTCTAGTTCTATATCATCAGTAAGGTCAGTATATCCTGGTTCATTAGAGATAATATAGAAATACTTGTATATTAACTACTTTAAATAGTTTGTTGGTTTTCAGATAATAGTGAATTCAACTGGATACTACTTCAAGCTATAATTTAGAATCGGTATTTCATCTTCATAGTCATTTATCCTGTCTTCTAAACACAGCAAGTTTATATTTTCTGCTTGTTGAAAATACAGTTTCAGCATATTAATGTATATTGAACTATTTTTCGAGGACCTACCCATTTAATTGATAGTTTGTTTGGCTTGAAAGGAGCCACAACTAGAACTAAGTCTCCTTCTTGAAATTTATGTTCTATGGCTTTACGATCATACCAGAGTTTTTGCCTTTCTTTGGTTTCTTCCATATGCTGGACAATGCGTTCTTGACATCTTCTCATTCAATTCATTAGTTGAAAAATATAGTTCACTACAGTATTTTCTTCTTCTTTTTTACCAGTTAATGTTTCATACAATAGTATAATTGGAGTTCTTAAGTTTCTGCCATGAACTAATTCTGCGGGCGAGAAACCTGTACTGTCATGAATGGTGATTTGAAGGGCAAATAAAGCCTGAGGTAAGATTTTATCCCAGTCTGAACCAGATTCTAGACCAGTGGTCGCGAAACTTATGAAGCTTCTGAGCTAATGTGCTATTTTTGAATCCTTCTGTGAGCTACCAACCAAAAGAGCTACCAATTTTTTTAAAAAAACCTCACATTTGTTTATTGCCTATAAACTTGCATTTCTAGTAAATATAAAATCAATTTTAATTAAACTATATAGAACAAAACGAAACTGAAATTGAATTTTACTAAAAAAGAAAATGAAGTGTAGTTACTTATAAAATAACAAATGTAATGACAGTTTTTTTAATCAGACTTATTAACTTTAATCAGAAGGATGAAACTCTTTTTTGCCATCAACAAGTTTTTTAGTGTTGGGAGAGTAGGTAGTGGCTACCAGTCAAATACAGTTGTCCAAGTGTTCATCAGAGAGTCTGTTTCTGTACTTGTTTTTAATAAATTTCATACTAAAAAAAAAATCTCACATAGATATCAATCAGTTCCAACTCTATTGCTGTATTATCTTCTTGAAAATCAAAATGGTCTATAACCTAAGGAGAAAAACTCTTCAGCATAAATCTTTATAAAAGACGATTTGACAAACAATTGAAATCCTTTTGGAATCTTGGAAGTTTTTTTTTAATTCACTACTTTCTTATGAACTGATACACTTGCATAGCACAGTAAACAGATCCAATTGTCCTTTACCTCGGTACAGAAGTAATCAGTTCCCCATTCTGAATGAAAGCAATAAGTTTTTCAATTTTTGCTTGAACATGCCATGATTAGAACAGACCTAGCTTGGTACCAATAAGTAAATCTTACTACACACTTAGCAAGTGTCTAATATATACACAAAAATCATAATGTGCACAACCTCATACATATACATTCAACTATGAGATGAGGCTGACAATGGCAGTTCCACGGGAGAAACAAGCAGTATTCGTCAGCATCAGCTCAGTGGAGGAAGCAAGGTTAGACAACCGCAGCATTAACACAATCTACCGAAAATGTCCCTATGAGCTACTAGTAGCTCGCGATCAACGGTTTGGCGATCACTGCTCCAAATGCAAGACTCAAATTCTTTTTAAAGTTCTATGCATCCTCTCTCCAGGATTGCTTTGTGGATGGTAAACAGAACTTCATACAACCTTAATTCCGAATTTTTCTAAGAAATTCAATGTCAGTGCACTCATAAATGATGTGGCTTGGTCGGTCTGCACCTCTTTTGGAAATCCCATTCGACTAAAAATTTGAAAGAAAACATCATATATCGTGGTTGAACAAAGATTTGCGACAGGAACTGTATCCAGATATTTTGAAGACATGCAGATTGAAGTTATAAGATACTCATTACCTAAAGGTAACACGGGCAGAGGCCCACAAGCATCAACATTTATTTTTGAAAATATTTCTGTGATAACAGAGACAATTTTTAATGTCGCTTCCTTTTTATCTTGCAGCTTTCCAATTCTTTGACATTTGTCGCAAGTTTTAATAAAATTCTCAACATCTTTGTAACAGTTTGGCCAATAAAATTTTTTGAATAATGCATCTTTGGTATTTGTTGCACCAAGATGGACTGCTGTTTCTTCATGACACATAGTCATCAACAGCTTTTGGTATTTCTCAGAAACAACAATCTATAATCTTTGTGTTCCATCAAGATCTTCTTTTTTGAAAAACAGCATTTGGCCTTTCAATATATATATACCTTGTGCATTTTAGCTTCTTCATAAAGTGGCTTCAATTCGACGCTCTCCTTTTGTTCTTGTATAAATATTTCTGAAGAGGCCTTTATCAGATTTAATTTAGAACATTCATATTTCACTGGAGGCAAGCTTTCATTTTCAGTCAGTGTGTCTTTGTCATTAAGTTCAATTTCAGAATTTAACTCATCTGTTGAGACAAGATTTTCCGCTTCTTTCAGACGTCGCTGTTGACCATGAGATCATACAGTGTTTATCATACCAATTTGAACTTCATCTTGTTTTGCTTCTTTAAATAATGCAGTGGCATTGTTACCTAGAACATACCTTCCTTGATCTAATGAATCTCTTAAGACTGCAGCTTTTGTTATATGACCAAGATCACATTCAAGCTCTACCTCAGCCAAATGTAAACACACCAGATGTTCTTCCAGGGGTGTTCGTATCCACACAGTTTCACCCGTATACATGGAAGGCTGTACATACTTTTGGAAAATTAAACCCAAAGTTGCACTAGTATTTCTAAGTATGGGCATCCTACAGCCATTTACTTTACCTAGGCTAGTATATAGAGCCAAAATATCCTTAAAACTATATTTGGAAAATTTATTTGAGGGTACAGTTTCATTTGATGCAACAGTTTTTTAAATTCTGAGTTTATCACACTGAGGGGAATGGGATCGAAATTCATAACAACAAGGTGTTGTCTTTGTTTCTCAAATTCCCTTTGATAAATTTTATTAGGACATTCTGTCTTAATTATAGGTTTAGGATTAATATCTTTCAAGATTTCTTTACGATTGTCTATGATAACTACTTTGCATTTTGTTACATTTTGATGACTTTCTTAAAGTTTAAAACCTTGTTTTCTAGGATTTTTCTTCTTAAAGCTCTGTTTAATATTCTCATACTTGTCTAATTTTTCTGCTAGCTCATACAGAGTTTTTAATTTCATCCGTTGGTTGAGAAAATAATCTTTTACCTCCATTGGAACCCTATATTTAATTTGCTTGGTAACTATTAAATCTTTCATATTCTCAAATGTCTTACTTTCTAAATCCGCAATCCAATTCGAAAAATAACTATAGTTCATGAGAATAATTTTTCCAAGATTTTTTAGGAATCATTTGATCTCAGCCTTTCACTGTTAAGTTTATATCTTCTTAAGATTAGATTTTTCACATATTTGTACTTAGTTGCATTTTCAGGTGGTTCTCTGGCTAACATATTAGAGATTTCGGTAGGTAAAACACCCGAAAGATAAGCCACCAAATCTTTCTTAGGAACCTGAGCCCTTTCAGCCCTTCTCTCAAAATTTATGAAATACAGTCCCATTTCATCCTTTTTTTCATCAAACTTTGGAGTAATTTGTGACAACTGGATTTTGTTGCTCGTTTCTACTATATCTGCTATTAACTCTCTATCTTGTATTACTTGATTTTTCAAATTCATATGCCCTTGTTTCTCGAGCCAGACATTCTTTTCTCGCTTCCTTAGCCAGGCATTCTTCTCTTGCTTCCTGAGCCAGGCGTTCTTCTCTCGCTTCCTGAGCCAGGCGTTATTCTCTCGCTTCCTGAGCCAGGTGTTCTTCTTTCGCTTCCTGAGACAGGTGGTGTTCTTTCGTTTCCTGAGCCAGGTGTTCAGCAATTAGTCGGTTTAGACTTTGTGCGTCTGCCGCACAGTTTTTTTTTTTTAACAAGCGTAAAGCAAAGAAAATAAAAATGTTCACAAAACTGAGCGAAATGTTAAATTTGCTAACATCGTGCTTATTTATAGCAAAAATATCCCAGGCCTTCTC